TCACTCCATTCTCACTCACTATTTGGCCGGGATAGTGTTTGCAATTATTGTTAAAATCTAGCATTTTAAGATTTCAAATGCCCAAGTCTTTCAATTCAAGGTCATAACACCAGGTCACGTCAAGTGACCTTACCTCAAGGAAAATTCCTGTGCTCATCATATCTAAATACACCGACTAACCGATCACTTCAGAACTTTCAACGATTTTAATGGGCAACAGTATATGTATTTGAAACGTTTACTTTGCAAGTTTGACATTGTTGACAGAAAGGCCGGGTCAATTTTGAGATCGCTCAAGTCAATGGGAGAAAATTGAACTGCGCTTTTTTACGGGACGCATAATAAACACTCTGAAAACATGTGGTGCTTGATGAGATACAATACTGAATGAGAAAATTGTTTGTTTTGTTGGGGGCCATCTTTTTCGGTCTGAAAAGGCCCTTGCAGAGCTATGACATACATACCATGCTCTGGTGTAATAATTGGGTTGTGCGAGCCAGCGACAGTGATCTGCGGAAGCGAGACTGTTCCCGTGGGACGACTGCCCTGTCGGGACGGTCCAGCCGTCTCCCAAACGGTCACCCGAAGAGGATGATGTGTCCTGGAATGGATCCGACATCAACTACAGGTTGGCTGGTGGGGTGACCTCCAGTCCAGAGAGGGAAGCATGAAGACTAGGGGCGATGCGGATTGGTTTTTCCTGAGGATAGCGAGGACGGAAGGAATCTAGCACCCTTGAACCTTCCTTATACTGAATGTATCTGAGGCTGTTAAATCTACTAAGCGTTTTTTCTCGACATCGTCAAGGTGTCATTAACAAAAAATATGAAATCCGGGAGGATAAATTATATATAGAAATTGTGGCCAACAGAACATTATCAGTTGCGTTCAACATACTCGTAAGCATGTTCACACACCCATCTTACATATGGGCCATGTAATAATTATTTTTGATAGACATGCTTAAGTTATGAAATCATCTGAAGTGTTTGTAAAGCTCCACGATACGAATCTAATATCCTGCTATGCATTATGACCATTTCTGGTCAGGTCATGTCTTTGAACATAGGCCAAATTTTTCAAATGACCTTTAATGATCAACTTTTGATTCATTCGAAGCGTTTTGATAAGAGGAACACGAGGCTGGTAAAATTAATTTCATGCAAGTTTAGCTAAAAACTTTTAAGTGTTTGTGGAAAAGCAATTAGTTTTCTCATAATAGCAATGGTGGCAGTTGTTGTTATTTACATGCTAAGCCGTTCACCTTAATTAAATCTGGCAATATTATTCAGACATAGCGGTAAACGAGCTGATTGTTGTGTTAGGTTAGGCTCCTTCGGTCGATTTCAGAGTGGGAAGGATGAGTGGAATTAGGGGGGGGGGAAGGGGGCCTGGGCGGCAGTCCTGGCCCTCATGCTCCGCTGGGGCCGAGCCTATCACGTGGGTTGGATTGCCCTGACACATGGATAGCCCTGGGCGGTGTTTCACGGCCCCGCGCTGCAGCACGCTGCGCTGCGCTGCTGCATTGTTGCGGCGGATGATAAGAAATAAGAATTCGGCTCCACGCTAGCGTTGCGAGCTTCCGAGTCTGTTGATGTTTCCATGGAAATTGGAAACCCAATGCACCGGTGCGCGCAACGCACCCTGTCTAAGCAAAATGTTACCACCGATGACCTCTAGTGACATGACCTCTGGCTATGACCCGATCCAAAATTGGCTGAAGTATTTTTTTCTTCTTTTTGCTACTTTTGACGCTACTTCGAATACCCCTTAAATGCCCAAAGCTGAGTTATAAGAATGATGCTCAATCCCCATTTCCCCTCCAACAGGGCGTGAGTGTCAAGGCATTCCTGTGGGGCACGGGCTAACAATGACTATCTCATAATCATTGTGGCCATGAACATCTACTGCCATTCTTTAACACCGGTTTCGCTGCGCTGAGCGGTGGCCGTCCCGTTTGTTGGATCCTACAGCTGGCTGGCGGAAAGCGTTACCGGCCGCCCGTCCACCGCCCGCGGGCCGGACCGAGCGGTCCCGCTGACCCTACCTGACCTGAGCCCGGCGCGATATGGGACAGGCAGACGGGGGTTCGGCTCAGCGAAGGCAGCGCCCACTGGTGCTGGGGACTTTTTAATAGACTTCTGTACTGGTGGTGTCTGTGGTGGGCGGGGAGTGTACTGGTGGTGTCTGTGGTGGGAGTGTAGTGTACTGGTGGTGTCTGTGGTGGGAGTGTAGTGTACTGGTGGTGTCTGTGTTGGGAGTGTAGTGTACTGGTGGTGTCTGTGGTGGGAGTGTAGTGTACTGGTGGTGTCTGTGGTGGGAGTGTAGTGTACTGGTGGTGTCTGTGGTGGGAGTGTAGTGTACTGGTGGTGTCTGTGGTGGGAGTGTAGTGTACTGGTGGTGTCTGTGGTGGGAGTGTAGTGTACTGGTGGTGACTGTGGTGGGAGTGTAGTGTACTGGTGGTGTTTGTGGTGGGAGTGTAGTGTACTGGTGGTGTCTGTGGTGGGAGTGTAGTGTACTGGTGTTGTCTGTGGTGGGAGTGTAGTGTACTGGTGGTGTCTGTGGTGGGAGTGTAGTGTGCTGGTGGTGTCTGTGGTGGGAGTGTAGTGTACTGGTGGTGTCTGTGGTGGGAGTGTAGTGTACTGGTGGTGTCTGTGGTGGGAGTGTAGTGTACTGGTGGTGTCTGTGGTGGGAGTGTAGTGTACTGGTGGTGTCTGTGGTGTGAGTGTAGTGTACTGGTGGTGTCTGTGGTGGGAGTGTAGTGTACTGGTGGTGTCTGTGGTGGGAGTGTAGTGTACTGGTGTTGTCTGTGGTGGGAGTGTAGTGTACTGGTGGTGTCTGTGGTGGGAGTGTAGTGTACTGGTGGTGTCTGTGTTGGGAGTGTAGTGTACTGGTGGTGTCTGTGGTGGGAGTGTAGTGTACTGGTGGTGTCTGTGGTAGGAGTGTAGTGTACTGGTGGTGTCTGTGGTGGGAGTGTAGTGTACTGGTGGTGTCTGTGGTGGGAGTGTAGTGTACTGGTGGTGTCTGTGGTGGGAGTGTAGTGTACTGGTGGTGTCTGTGTTGGGAGTGTAGTGTACTGGTGGTGTCTGTGGTGGGAGTGTAGTGTACTGGTGGTGTCTGTGGTAGGAGTGTAGTGTACTGGTGGTGTCTGTGGTGGGAGTGTAGTGTACTGGTGGTGTCTGTGGTGGGAGTGTAGTGTACTGGTGGTGACTGTGGTGGGAGTGTAGTGTACTCGTGGTGTCTGTGGTGGGAGTGTATGTACTGGTGGTGTCTGTGGTGGGAGTGTAGTGTACTCGTGGTGTCTGTGGTGGGAGTGTAGTGTACTGGTGGTGTCTGTGGTGGGAGTGTAGTGTACTGGTGGTGTCTGTGGTGGGCGGGGTGTGTACTGGTGGTGTCTGTGGTGGGAGTGTAGTGTACTGGTGGTGTCTGTGGTGGGAGTGTAGTGTACTGGTGGTGTCTGTGGTGGGAGTGTAGTGTGCTGGTGGTGTCTGTGGTGGGAGTGCAGTGTACTGGTGTTGTCTGTGGTGGGAGTGTAGTGTACTGGTGTTGTCTGTGGTGGGAGTGTAGTGTACTGGTGGTGTCTGTGGTGGGAGTGTAGTGTACTGGTGGTGTCTGTGGTGGGAGTGTAGTGCACTGGTGGTGTCTGTGGTGGGAGTGTAGTGTACTGGTGGTGTCTGTGGTTGGAGTGTAGTGTACTGGTGGTGTCTGTGGTTGGAGTGTAGTGTACTGGTGGTGTCTGTGGTAGAAGTTTAGTGTACTGGTGGTGTCTGTGGTGGGAGTGTAGTGTACTGGTGGTGTCTGTGGTGGGAGTGTAGTGTACTGGTGGTGTCTGTGGTGGGAGTGTAGTGTGCTGGTGGTGTCTGTGGTGGGAGTGTGGTGTACTGGTGTTGTCTGTGGTGGGAGTGTAGTGTACTGGTGTTGTCTGTGGTGGGAGTGTAGTGTACTGGTGTTGTCTGTGGTGGGAGTGTAGTGTACTGGTGGTGTCTGTGGTGGGAGTGTAGTGTACTGGTGGTGTCTGTGGTGGGAGTGTAGTGCACTGGTGGTGTCTGTGATGGGAGTGTAGTGTACTGGTGGTGTCTGTGGTGGGAGTGTAGTGTACTGGTGGTGTCTGTGGTTGGAGTGTAGTGTACTGGTGGTGTCTGTGGTAGAAGTTTAGTGTACTGGTGGTGTCTGTGGTGGGAGTGTAGTGTACTGGTGTTGTCTGTGGTGGGAGTGTAGTGTACTGGTGTTGTCTGTGGTGGGAGTGTAGTGTACTGGTGGTGTCTGTGGTGGGCGGGGAGTGTACTGGTGGTGTCTGTGGTGGGAGTGTAGTGTACTGGTGGTGTCTGTGGTTGGAGTGTAGTGTACTGGTGGTGTCTGTGGTAGAAGTTTAGTGTACTGGTGATGTCTGTGGTGGGAGTGTAGTGTACTGGTGGTGTCTGTGGTGGGAGTGTAGTGTACTGGTGGTGACTGTGGTGGGAGTGTAGTGTACTGGTGGTGTCTGTGGTGGGAGTGTAGTGTACTGGTGGTGTCTGTGGTGGGCGGGGAGTGTACTGGTGGTGTCTGTGGTGGGAGTGTAGTGTACTGGTGGTGTCTGTGGTGGGGGTGTAGTGTACTGGTGGTGTCTGCGGTGGGAGTGTAGTGTACTGGTGGTGTCTGTGGTGGGAGTGTAGTGTACTGGTGGTGTTTGTGGTAGAAGTGTAGTGTACTGGTGGTGTCTGTGGTGGGAGTGTAGTGTACTGGTGGTGTCTGTGGTGGGAGTGTAGTGTACTGGTGGTGTCTGTGGTGGGAGTGTAGTGCACTGGTGGTGTTTGTGGTAGAAGTGTAGTGTACTGGTGGTGTCTGTGGTGGGAGTGTAGTGTACTGGTGGTGTCTGTGGTGGGAGTGTAGTGTACTGGTGGTGTCTGTGGTGGGAGTGTAGTGTACTGGTGGTGTCTGTGGTGGGAGTGTAGTGTACTGGTGGTGTCTGTGGTGGGCGGGGAGTGTACTGGTGGTGACCGGGACAGTCTTCTCTCGGCCAGCCGGGTCGACGATGAGCTGGACAGCGGCTGCAGCGCCGGCAGCGCGAGCACCAGCTGCGTGCGCGCGGCTGCGGCCGCGGCGCCGGCGGCCGGCACGGCAGGCGGCCTGCTGGTGGGCCTCACCTACAACGCCGGCCTGCGGCGGCTCACGGTGGCCATCCTGGAGGCCGTGCAGCTGGAGGTGGGTAGCGGTGATATGCACGCACGCACGCATGGTAGGGGTTTACTCTTTTTATGAGGTGAGGTCAAGTGACGTGGCCTGGTGACCTGACCTTGAGTGACCTTGGTATGCAATTTTCACCGCATTTGTAGGAAAGTGTTTAACAAGGTGTTAAAAGCGCAGGGGGATGTTCAGTGAGTTCACACCCAGCAGGGCGCGGGTAACCAAGCGCGACTGGGCTCGCTGCCGTGTCGGCGCGATGTGTGCGGCCGTGTCGGCTGACAGCTGACGGCCGTGCCAGCTGACAGCTGACGGCCGTGCCAGCTGACAGCTGACGGCCGTGCCAGCTGACAGCTGACTGTGTCCCACAGAGTGTCAGCGGCAGCGGCGGCGGGGCTGAGCACCCGTCCACGTACGCTAAGGTGACCATGTACCACCACACGCGTGGAATCCAGTCAAGACGAACCGAGACCGTCCGCAACAGCAGCTGGTGAGTCCAGATCGGCACCTGCGCACAATCTTACCAAATGCGGTGAATGCGCATTCACGGCATTTGGTAACATTTAGAACTATTCCACATTCACTTATTCATTCGTTTAGACAACATTCATTTCATAATCATTCACGCTATTAAAATCATTGGACAAGTTAAGCTGGATGTAAATAAAAATAATATATTTGATATCAGTGCCGTAAAATCCGGCCAGTGCAGCCAAATCCTATTTGTGGCATTGGTAAGGGGTGCGTATTATTTAGGCCAGGGTTCATAATGTCCAGGGCACGATGCGTCCAGTGTTTTTTTTTTTTTAATATAGTACGAACCACTGTTTGAAACGGCCAGTGCCCTGAATTGGCCAGTGCTCATATTGTCCAGGGATTACATGGTCCAAATGTGGCCAACTGGCTGAAGGGTTAATTTAAAGAGGCCATGGTGTGTCAGAAGTGGAAATAGCTTTATGTGGAAATAGCCACACGGCTTTAGTTCTCCAGCCTTGTCAACAGATGGCAGTACCGCAATATGGGCGGTACCTAAATCGTGCAATTGACGTCAAATTTTCGGTACCTGCTAAGAATTGAATGACAAATCTTGTCATGCAAGAATGAAGTAAATTGGTCCACAACTTTTCTAACAACAGCGGTATAAAGTCAAACACCCTGCCAGAGCGGCGGCGCGCCGGCCGGCGGCGGCCGTTACGCGCCGCCTGGGAGACCATGCCGGTGCGGAACGGTTCCGACTTTGCATTACACTAAAACCCGTCAACTGCGTGGAATAGTTATTATAGCAAAATTTCCATTCAAGTGAGGAATAATCCAAGGGCAGGATGCATGTATGTTTGTGTGCGTACTGTGTAAGCCAAGAAGCTGCATTAGTAGATACTCGCTAATATTAGATCCAGCCAAGTCCAAATGCATTCCACGGGATGTGTTTCTAATGCGTCAACAATATTTATCGTTCGAGGGCGGATACAGTTTTAACGATACATTTTTTTTTGCACAGCTCTATTCCTTGAATAATTTCTCTGCAACGCCTTATTCCTAGTTAAGCGAATTAGTCCACCCTGGTTGAATAAATAAGGCGATTTCGCCAAAAGGTCGCGGAAACCCGACCGAAAACGGCCGCGCTCAACGTTAATTTGGGCATGTAGACTCTTAAAAACTCGCATTGGGCGGAAAGGGTTTCCAAGGTATTGGCTCCAAAACAACGTAGCGTCTCCCACGATAGGCGTTATCACAAGTGTATTCGCGGCCATTGGGGCGACGTAAGAAAAGAAGAAAACACCTGGCCCCAAGAACTTTAAATTATCAAATAGCATGCACCTTTTCCTTGATATGTAGAGAATTTACCATTAATTGTTAGAGAAAATTGCATTTAAAATCTTCCATTTATGCTTTTTTCATCGTTTGCACAGTATGTTCTTTTACTAAGCTAGAAACACTAATTAGAAATAGTTCCCGCATCATCAAGAACAATAGGGAAGGCTTGAAGTGAATACAATAACCTAAACGGTTTTGTAATCCATGTGAAGACACTTCTAAAATTGCCTGTAGAAATATTAAAGGCAAAAGTTCAACTTTTTCACAAGACGGATGGCTATAAACCTATTCAACGTGTGACAACTCAGCCGGTATATCGTCGCCTACAGCCCAGCTTTCCCTAGTGACCGATAGAGGCGCTGCTATCGATGTCCGCCCATGCCGCCTAACGAAATACGTCCAAGTGATCCACCGCGCTCCTAGTTAACCCTCGCGGGCCCGGGGGGGGCGTTTTTCGCCCCCCCCCCCTGGCGAATATTTGCGATAACTCACGAACGCTTAGGGATAGGAAGGCAAAACTTGCAGTACCTTTTCTCCCATCAATTTGACATCTTCTGAAGTAAAAGATTTGGACCTAGCCCCCTTGATGACGTCACAAGGTCCATTTTTCTAGACCCCTGCACGGCAAACTTCGGCGTCACAGACGCAAACTTCAAATAGCTGCTAAAAATAGAGTTTTAGAGATAAAGACAAATTACGAGCACGGCTGTGTAGCGTTTGACCTAGAGAAAAATAAAAAGATAGTTTCGGTGACCTGAGGTCAGAGGTCAGGTCAACGACCCCGAAATGTGGTTTTAGTTTTTCGCAAATAACTTCGACAAAAATGGTCCTGGAGCTACGGCAGTGGTACCATCGCATTCGCCTTGTCAAGCCGCGTCGAATGATATATATTTTGTTCGGAAAAGGTCAAGTTTCATGTTGACCTCATGTGACCTCGAATGACCTCTGGTTGACCTTGACACATGAAAGGTCGTTTATGATGGATTTGTACCCGCTGATCACGAATCTGGCATCTATTTTCCTCTAAGCCTTCATTTAGAGCTTCCGGATGGCAAAATTGTCTTATTTATTATTACTAACTTGAATCAGTGAAATAGCCTCTAGCAGGGATACTCTTCTGTGACCTTGACCTTTGAGCAGCCTTGTATCGTAAGATGAACCACAAATAGGGAACTGATAAGCCTCAAAACATTTCAAAACATCTTGGAAGTTAGCACGCAAGGTGTGCGAAAAAGTGCCAAGTTTGAGGTCAATTTTGAGCGTGACCTTGACCTTGACCTTTAATTTGGAGCACATTTTCAGAATCCTCAGATTCTCTTCTTTCGTTTGACACCCAATTTTGCCGGTTTGATGCAGCCTGCCGTCCTCTAGAATGCTTACTTTGAGATCACTACACATGTGCCGGTTTTGGCCTTTGACCTTGACCTCTGACCTTGAAAATTGACCTGAGGTCAAAATTTTGGGTGCATTAGAATCGTCTCGTAAGGACCTTTCGTTTGGTATCGCTTTTGTTTCCGTAGCTTCCTTATTTACGGAGTTAGACAGGGGGGGGCGAAAAAACGCCCCCCCCCCCGGGCTGCGGTGGTTGGGATTACCCCCCGGGCCCGGCCGCAGGGCTGGTAAAAATGGTTTTGGTGGCTCTGACCAAATTTTTGGCCATGAAAAGTGGCTCCTAACACTCGTAACAGAAAAGGCTTGAAAGTGCGGTGAACAACGTCCTTTTACAGGAACACCTTAACCCACGAGCCGCTGGGGGGGGGGGGCATAAAGTTGCCCCCCCCTTTACGTTTTGTGAAATATCTCCGAAAGCTGATGAGCTGCGAACGTGAAACTTGGCATAGCTTCAAATGAATACCTAGGCAATGTTTGAGGAAAGTTTTGTGGTTGTAGCACCTAAGATGACGTCACAGTGACGTCATAAAGTTTTGTCGTTTTCCGATATAGACCGTTTCTGATGACGCTGAGCATGAAACTCGACTGTAAATGAACTAGACAGCACCTGCTGTCATCCTAAAACATCTAACTACACTTCCATCTAGTTTCTGACCAATAATCGGCCCTTTATATTCGGTCCCATATATCTGATGTATCGTGAGGAATATGAGAGTCGCAAATCTATAATTTCACTTATGACGTCACTGTGACGTCATTTCAAATGGGATCGACACCAAATTTGGACACAACCCCGGCTAGGTATTCAGAAAAATGTGTGCAAAGTTTCGCTTCTCTATCTCTTCGCGTTGCGACGATATCGTCGCAGAAGTAAAGGGGGGGGCAACTATATGCCCCCCCCCCAGCGGCCAGCGGGTGGCGCGGAGGCCCAGCGGCCGCCGGGTTAAAATCCATCAGTAACTATTTTAGTTTTAGTTATAGCTCACTGATGTATCCTGATTTTGGGACATCGGCTGGTGTCAAACACAGCAAAAGAATGTAGGTATATAATTTCTTCTACTTTTGTTTAAGCTGGTTGGTGACAGAAATGTAAGGCACAAATGCATGTAAGGCAATGAATGTTGTTGACAAAAAATATAATACTGACTCACCAACAGAGGAAATTTCATCATCTCGCCCACTAGCATAGATCTTCCGCAGGCTGGTCATTGTTATCGGCGAGGATCTTTGTCGATAACCGGCACATGCTGCCGAGCTCGCGATTTTGCTCTTCACTAATTTATTGGTTTGTGGTGGATTAAATTTGTAGACCCTTAGATGGATCGTAAGGACTTAAGTTATTTATTTGGAAAATTGTATGCTACGTTTTGGTTAGTTTATTTACGTTATTTGTCTCTGTAAAACGTGCTACGACGTCAAAACAAACACCTGTGACCGAACGAA